CGAACGTATCCCGATGGCGGTGTAAGTCGTGAAAATCATTATTACGTCTCGAGTTCCGGACGGCACGAATAACTATCGAGTTATTGCCCATTGCGCAACACTTCATTGCTCCTGCCCACCATTCGTTTTCACGGTAAATGTCACATTAAAATTTTTATTTTACGTTCACGGACGAGCGAGAAGAATATTTTCGACATTTTGAATTCCAAATTTCACGCAGAAGGAAAAACCCAATCACCGAGTGATATGATTAGAGAATTCCGATCGGAACAGGATGATGGGGGAGGGACGGCGGATTCCGGTCTCGCGAGAGTTAAGTGCGACTTCGCATTGGCCAATAAATTTAATCTACTAGGAAACATCGGCGCTGCCAGATCGATATGTCACTCGATTTCATCTGTTGCAGGATCAATCTCGACCGTAAACGGTACGAATCCTTCTTCCTTAGCTGCGTATCCCGATTCGTTCGCTTGTAATATCGATGAGTCGGCTCCACGCTGCAATTTCCGCAATCCCGACCTCACTCGGTGGAAAGATATTTCGCCTTTAACCCGCCAACCCCCAGATCAGATTAAGTGCGGTACAGTGTTATCATTTATCCGGACCGTAACAAACCGCGAAGCATCCTAAATCAGCGGTCTTCGGTCCCTCCGATTGCGCATTCTCCACGAGTCCTCGTTCTCTTAAACGCTTATCTCAAATTCACCCCAAAAAATAGCACCGGTTGTGTTTGAATAAATAAATATTAAATTTAGGATAAACATAATTTGCAACGTTCGCGCTATAAAACTCTAATTTTTCACAAATTGAAGCAGAACTAAATTATAAGAATAACAATTTTTTAATTATTGTTATTTACAAATCTTTAATGCTAAAGATCCAATTTTGTTTTGGAAGAAAAATTCTACATTTTTTTTCTGCGAGTTGAACCTTTTGATTACGCAATGAATGAATGGGAGATGGTTTGTAAAAACAGTCCTTCAAAATTAAAAAAATACTCAGTTGCGATGTCTAGATGCGATCGATGACGAAGGGAAAGCTAACCGGTTAGTTAGCTGTGCTTGCGTATTTCTAGAGGACATTTCCGATTACATTCGTATCCATAGAAGTTGATTCTTTTCTCGAGAAACTCGTAATCGATCGTCGATCGGCGAGAGATTAATAGGATTTTATCGCGTAACGTAGCGATTGCTGTATTATTCCGACGTCACTCTTACTCCTCCATTGCATTGAATATTCATCCGAGGTGTAGCGCTAGACTGAACGCTAATCCTGAGAGAGGCGCGTCTCGTGACGTCCGGAGCTTATTTCGCGAAGGATGAGATATTCGTGTTCCGGTGTCACGCTTCTTGCCTCGGGGCTTTACACGCTCGCGCGGAATTAACCTACGGAAGGACTAAGTCAATAGTTCAGGCAAGATTATCGTCGCTGTCTCATTAACGGAAAGTATTTTGTACATATATATATATATTATATATTGTATACGTATATAGTTTAACTGGTTATAGCTTTATCGCCAAGTGTAATCCTTTCACTCAAGGACGACAACGCCGGCGAACGTGATTAATGATCGTTCTTAATTACGTGCCGGAGATTTCATTGCGACGCTACGTATATGTTGCGTATAATTTAGGTCGAAATTTTTCTCCTCCTTCCAATTCCGCTCTCGGCGCGAATTGTCGCGGAGCGTAGCGGCTAATTCGCCACGACGATATTTAAGTTGGCTCCGCGAGAAAGCCATTTATCTTTTTTTTCTCTCTCTCTCTCTCCATTGTCCGAACAATCATACAATTCCAAGAAGCTAAAATATACTTTGCAGATTCACCGAGCGTCCCTTTATCGCTACCCTTCGGATTTATGAAGCGTCCTCTATTTCGTGTCGACTTCATTTCCGCGACGACGATCCGCACACCGCGCGTAATCATTAATCACTTTGCGGGACAATCGTGTCCGTTTTAATCGGCGCGCGTTTAATTAATTACACGTTTCGCATATATACAGTTCAATTATCTACAAACGCGTCCCAGCGGGCCAGCGATCTTACTGCTGTCCGCCGATGCGCAGACCGCAGCAATGATGAAAGTAAAGCGCGTGCCGGCCAACTCGTACCCGGCTGTCCGTAATTCGTGCAAAGCAGTCTCGAATCGATTACGGATGACGGCGTCAAGGCGCGTAATATAGCTGCGACTCGCCGGGGCCACCCGCGGTCACTCCGCGTTATTGTGCTTCGCGTTTCGGACTCCTTCGCCTCGGCGCAGAACGAGATGAAACTCGGAAAATACTCCGAGCTGGACTGGCTTTAGGTTTCTGACTGTTGCTTGATGAGGGTGTGAGCGGGATAAAGTTTCATCTCTTGGACATGTATTTACGGACATGTATATCCATGTTTCTAAATTATGTTATTAAGGGATTCTCCGGGATTAAGTTTTTCCAGAGAAAAAAACGCGTTGATGAAATCTTATATTTCTCTCGCCGCAGGAGAGAAGACCTTGCAAAATTGTTACACCGACCAGCGATTTAATTTTCTCTCGCAGAATTTCCAAGAAATATTTTTTTCACCAACAAAGAGAAATCTCGATTTACTCTTCGGTCTACGTTGGTTTCATTTCTGATTATTGTACTTCGCACTTTGCTGAATTTTAGAGATCTACTTCGTCGACTTTCGATCCTGTGCGAAGGATTATGAGAGGAAATCTAGTTCGAAGTAAGGCTCGCTCGTCTCGCTCGTTGATGAGTCTCGATTTTTTTTTTCTTCCGTATGTCAGAACCGACTCTAGTGAGGATTCGCGATCGATGCTCCTCGAGGCATATATCTGATCAGGAAGTTACTCGCTGAGAATGTACTGCCGCTAATTACAGTCCTCGATTCGCGAGCGCTTTGAACGTTCTCGTTGCGCACCGCGGGCGATTTTCCCGGAACACCTTTTCCATTATTTAGCTCCATAGAGTACTTAGGACCAGATGGCTCGACGTTAAGTGGATATCCGCAGAAGTCTTAGATTATCTAAAGAGTACGTAGTCGGTGCGATTAAAGCCGTAATGAACTCTGCGCTGAAATTTCCGATTCCAGCTCGGTTTGCGAATTTTAAGAACGATTTTAGGGAGCAACGAAGAATCTCAGATAAGACGAGAGCCGATTGCTCATCGACGATCGATACTCGAAAGTATTTCGAGCTCACCCCTTGACTCGGTCGAAAATTAGGAAATCTGACCGACAGGTCGTAGAACAAGATACACTAAGTCTATTTCGCTGAAGCTGTTCTTGCTTCGCGCATTAAAAAAAAAAAAGTTACGACTCGCTTGTATGCGGTGGAAAATTTTTCTTCTTCGCGCGTCGCGAAATAGTCGCGCTCGGCGTGATGAAATTTACGACGGATTACATTGCATTGCGATATGAAAAAGACTTTATGAGAATGTAGTGTCTGAGGGGGCAATCAATATATTTGACGGACTACCGGTAGACGGTTGAAACTTACGTTAATGTCTTAGACATTAGATGTAGTTTTAACTATACATTGTTCTTATAACACTGAATCTAGTACTAAATCTTTCATCGGTGGCACCAAAGTTTCCCCGCGATCTTACGGCGATTGCTGTTAGGACGAGCGATTATCCAGCTGTCAATAGATACCGATGTCCGAGACACTGACTTTCTAATTTAATAACGCGTTTTAGACTGGAAAGAAATTCTTCTCGCCGGGATATTCGATATTTCTACTTCTAAAGCGTAAGCTATAAATCTATCTTTATGCTTAACTCTAACTCACGATACAAGTAACGGTACGATCGTAACGAATTTTTATCCATCAGTCGTATGACGCAAATCCTGCTAAATTGTTATAACAGATCCTTACTGAATTATTCCTAATCTTAAGAACTTGTAAAAAAAATAAGTCAATTAGAATTTTTATTTCTGTCGAACGGAAAACAATTCTGAATTATTTCTTCAGATATTTTTTGAGACCCTTTTTTTTTTTTTGTAGCACACTCGTGTTACTTCGATTCTTGGGAACTCGAGCATATTTTATCGAGATATTTGAAGTGAAGTTTTGGGAACTATGGGGATTCTCATACATCTCCGATTTTAACTGAAACTCTCTATTCGATGACGTCGGTCGCATCGGCCGCAGCTATCGATGCGCATGATACTTCCATCGACGACTCGCACTTTAAACGAGCACAACTATCCTCTCGGATACATGCAATGTCATTGATCGCCCGATGTCTGCTATTTTCGCATCGTATCCAACACGCAAGATCTAAACTGCTATTTTAGCCAAGCTTACAGAACTTACATTCCGACCACAACACTCATTTCAACAAATTTCTCCTTCAATTGCGTAATTCGTGTACAATCAAAAATCAATCATGCGCGATTATTGCGAATATATTTGTGCGACTAATCGCCACGTGTATGCTTCGTTATATATATATATATATATATATACATATATACAAATGATATCTATTTTCTGACGCTAAGAAACAAATCTGTCTATATTTCTATATTAACTGGACACATAAAACTGCGCATAAAATTATAGCGAGTATCTATATTCGAGATTTATATTGCTGCCTGGACCATATTTTAGATGGCGAATTAAGAATTCACGATCACGTGTCAAATCATCTCTTCGAATTGTGTCACGATTACATTAGATTGCGAAGCGAACGATTATATTTATATTTATCCGCCACAATTTATGTCTGTTATTTAGAAGCTTGCGGTGCCACGTAAAAATAATCACGAAGGCCCGATAGCGTAAATATTATACAATACACATGCCCGCGCAGAATTTTCACGAGCACGCTACTTCCTAGTTAACTCGACAAGTCAGCTTATCTAAAAACTAGACTCCCCTCTCTCCTCTCTCTCTCTCTCTCTCTCTCTCTCTCTTTCTTTCTCTCGAACGTATTACCCAGACGTCCTTGCGAGATAATTGTAAGCACGGCATTTTGCATACGGTTGTCCCACATTTCAAGTAAAATTGATTTTCCAGATAAGGCCGTTACCGATCAGAACACAAGACAACGAGCATAAATCTTTCACGAGGTATCAATTTTACTCGAAGGTCATAACGGAGTGCCGAGCTTATGGCTCGCCGCATTCATCGCGAAAACAACATGCACGCACTTACCTTATTAGATAATACGCGGCGGGAGAGGAGAAGTGCGGCACGGTGTGCATTATAAAATATGCGATGAGTTTTTTTTTTTATAACGCGCAAATGACGGGCGTGGCGTTAAATAGTGCGGATTGTTAATCTACTGCGCGGGCCAAAGAGGAGGTCACAAAGCGGTGCTTGATAACAGCGACGATTTATTAGCGTAAAATGTGTTATTTCGACGATTGCATTTTGCGCAGTATTTTTTTTCCAATCGCTGAATATAGTAACCGCGATGCAAAACGTAACATTGATATACGATAAAATGTATACTGCAAAGTGCATTTGTACGTGTATAAACATGTTGAAATTATTTTAAAAAGTCATTATTGCTGAAAGCGAGTACAAAAGTGTTGTTTGCGTGATACAAGATATATTACAATGCTGTGGAATAAAATGACATGAAATATTTAAAATATTCGATATTGCAAATTTCAAATTATACAATTTCGAAAACAATTTTAATTTCCCGAAATATTTAACGACAGAAATATATAAAATTATTACTGCCGCACGCATTTTACAAACTCTATTCGAACGTATTCAGATTGTATAATAATTAATCTAGAAGAAGGGATAAAGTATTTAACGAAAATGGAAAAGGGAATAATTTCGGCGTGTAAGGCGCGTACAAAAGTGCTTGGAATATCACTCTTCGACAGTGCCATATAACGACAATTTAAAGAATAAGTCGCAGAGAGAGACGAGGACTATCTTCCGCCGTCACACAAATGACGTTGAAGAAAATAATAATATAGCCAATATCTTCGAATTGTGTCTGAAATGAAATCTCCTGAAATCAAATGCGGCACGTGAATGGGAGGAAGAAAATGCGATACCTTTGTCATTATCTGTGTCTCGTTAAAACTTTCATTCGACTCCTGTCAATGCGATATGATTACGCGGATCCGAAATGTGCCGCTTGTGCTGTCGAAAGCTCCGGCGACGAAGCTTTTTCCACGCCGGCATGCGCGCGGCCACGCTAACTAAGCCGTTCGCTGATTAACGCAAACGCGCGACGTAATCAGCGCGATTGCGCGAGATCAGCGGAGCGTGTGTGCCTCGATGCGGCCGCGAATGTCTCGCAATTATGATCAGCGCGTTACGCACTTTGCTATGTACTCGCGCGTGGAATTACCAGTTTAACAATTGCGCAATGAGTTTGACGAATACGCATGAATCGGTTCGCTTAGATCACGCGCTCCCTTTTGCATTATCACACTTTCTCGATGTGTAACACGATTTCTCTGTATATTGACCCTTTCGGCTCTGCCCGCGACATTACGCAAAGCTTCTCGATTCATTGTGCAATTCTATATTTGTAAGTTTTCTAAAAGAAAAAACGACTTTTTTAATAATTATCTTCATAGCTTGCTCTTCAGACAAGTCGATCGCCCGATGCAAATGCGCATCATCATTTCCCGGATTGACACCGAAAGGGTTAATAATGCGCAGTTCGCTGTTGAATCGGTGTGCCGTAATTGTAGTGATGCGAGCCCGAGAGGATCGGTATTGTGTACAATCGATACAATCTTGTTAGCCTACTTTATCAAATTTGACAAATGTGTAAACGCACCGTGATGATTTCGATGACGAAAGCGCAACAGAAGGTACGCGACAGGTACGCAAGTGTCGCGATCATCGATCCGATACTGCGATAAGTTTCCATTGGTGAATATGATAATAAACGGGAAAACAGCTTTTTCAGAGCGACGGACGAATAGAACGGGGGGCGGCTGTGACAAACGGAAATTTCATCTGTCGAACTCACATCGACAAGTTGCGCGAATATGTTTGTCAGCTTGCGGAGCCGCGAGATAAACAATTCGCCGCGCTTTCTGAAAGAGTTCACCCACGACTCCTTCGCGAACAAACGCGAACTCTTGAGGATCTCGCTCGCACTGTCCAATCGCGTAATTCACCGCGACAGTTGCCGACAGACGTTCGATCCATCAGCATCGATTTGTCGAGTTTCACGAGACGGGATCCGTCGCCGCCGCCGTCGCCGCCGCCGTCGCCGCCGCGATGCGAAACGGCGCGCGCGATTGCACGAGACGGACAATCCAATTCAGGATGACGGACGATCCATTCGGGATTCGCGTCGTAATTGACGATCGCCTCCCCCGCACGCGCGTTAATCAATTCCGATTTCGGTCGCAACGAAGGTGACTACGCATTACTGCCGTCGCCGCTGTTATGCGCGCCGAGCGCCGATGGCGGCGCGCGCGTAAGAACGGACGTCCGGGCCGCGCGCGAGATTGTACGCAAATTGCAATATTGTTCACGTTGCGCGAATGCGTGCCCGGCCCGTTATTATTATCCCGGCGCCGGGAGAAAAATCCGTGCAGCGGGGCGGGGGTCTTCACGTTTCCCCGCCGGATGCAACTCGCCGTCGCCGAAAAATGCCCCGAGGGGGTCTCGAAGCGGGAGCTCCTCGGCAGGATCTCTCTCGGGAGACTTCGTCATTCGGGACGACGGAATACGACGACCGTCGGTTGGCTCTGCACGGCGCGAGCAAGCGACCGCGCGAGATTGCATCCGCCGCATACGACTATGATGCACCGTCGCTCCTCGCGTGAATACCGTTCCGTTGACGCTCGTACACGCGGAAAACACGTACGTAATAATACTCGGACACACGTACACACAGGACACGGACACATACTCTTAAGTAAGATCTAGTACTTACGTATATTATGATTATTATTGTGGTATAATTAATTAATTCCGTTTAAGCAATCAAAATAAACTCATATTTTGTATGTGGGCCACGCGCGGCGAGGCGCGCCCGTGGCAAAGCCCGCATTATCGTCATTACTAATATTATTATAATAAAGCACACTACGCTCCAAAATTGTTGCCACCATTGTTACTTATTATCGCTATCGCTGTGTTACTTGTGCCGACATATACTATATATACATATATATTTATTTTCACGTACGTGTGAATTGTTTCTCTCTGTTGTTATTAATCTTGGAAATGTTTTTTCTTCTGTTGCAGTTGTGTGAATGCGCGTGATTGCGAATGTGTGCGAATGCATTCCCGCCTCCTCCGCCAATCCCTATCATCCCCCCCCCTCCAGTTCGCTTCCCCGCAAACCGCCGAAAGTGCAAACTTTATTTCGTTTCTGCATGCCGCGCGTACTCGGCGCTCGCGATTTTCAGATCGCGTCGGAAAAGTTGACGAAGAATTCCGGAATTTTATTTCTCAATGACGCCCACCAACAGTTTCGCGGTCGTAGCCGTTTAACCGTTTCTCATCCGCGCGGCGGTGATATTTAACGGCGCCGATCGTGAAAGGTTGAGCGATAATGAAGCCGCTCAAAGGACCGTAACAGCGTGCGCACCTGATTTACGCGGGATCTTTTTCTTTTTTTTGCTCGCCGCGTCGTCGTCGGTTTTACTATCCGCCGTGTGGCCTTTGACATTCAGTCGCTTATAGAATTTGCGATTCTTGGACGGGACGGGAGGAGAGCATATTTCACGTCGCGTTTTTTAATCGTTTGTTTTTCGCTCGTTAATTGCAGCGATTGATCTCGAGTGCGGCCCTCGGGCAGGTAATAGTCGCATCCCACGAGGCGCACGAGTGGGAAGAACGATATGACCTATCGAACATCCGCCACGTCTTCTGCCTCCTCCCGTCGTCAACTTAATTGCAAAAGCCTCTTTGAAAGTTACCGAACATCTCTTCTTCTTTCAGGCGTGTCTGGTGGAGAATACCAGCCGCGAAGCGTGCTGTGCTTAACGGCACTATTAGAATAGTAGACTAGTTAGTGCTTTAATTATCTGCTAATTGGGTCCCCGGGATTCCCCCGCGCGTCGGAAAGTCGGCGACTCTGGAAGGGGCTTTTGAGCAGTCATGGGAAAGCAAAACAGCAAATTGAAGCCGGAAGTGCTGGAGGACCTCAAACAGAATACCGAGTTCTCAGGTGAGCCCCGCCTTTGTGCGGATAATTAATGATCTTCAACTTCCGATGCACACCAGCGCTCGGTATAAATTTAAGATAATAATTAACTTTTTGCTCGCTGCGTTAAATAACTTTCTCGAAGATTCTAATGAAACGCGCCATGTGCAGAACGTGTTGCACGCGTGTGTTTTCGCTTCGACGATACAAATATTCGCCTGAATATTGTGAGCTCGGTAAATTATCGATAAACACAATATTATGAATTTATCGGGAGAATTTCTCGGGAAAATGTAATATTAGCGAAGTTGAGTAATATTTCATGGGACTTTCTTTTCAAGATGCGGAGATCCAGGAATGGTACAAAGGATTCCTAAAGGACTGTCCCAGCGGGCATCTCAGTGTGGAGGAATTCAAGAAGATATACGGGAACTTCTTTCCTTACGGCGACGCGTCGAAGGTAAAATCTCGGATGAGAATATATCGCGCGCGCGCGCGTTGATATGTAATCGATAAAATTGTTTACATATCGCATATCCGCGCGACCGCAATTATTCACGTTTCCTGAAAAATTTATTGTGATTTTCTCCCCCCCCCCCAGTTCGCGGAGCACGTATTCAGGACGTTCGACGCGAACGGCGACGGCACGATCGATTTTCGGGAATTCCTCTGCGCCCTCAGCGTAACGTCCCGCGGCAAGCTGGAGCAGAAGCTGAAGTGGGCCTTCAGCATGTACGACTTGGACGGCAACGGGTACATCTCGCGGCAAGAAATGCTGGAGATCGTAACGGTACGTGCCAAGTAGTAAAATCTGACTTACGAGCTCGCGAGAAATGAGGAAGCTGAGATATATTCTAATAACGCGATCATCTTTCTTCGGACTCGGTCCCCAGAGTCGACGGTATCACTCCGTTTTATTAAAAATGTTTCGTCGATTTACTGCTGCCTCATCTTCGCAGTACTTTTATTAACGATAAATTACGATTTTCAACGCGATTTTGCCGTATCATATTTTGCAGTTTTCCACTCAATTTCCATTCAGCCGTTCGACTTCTTTTTCTTATCTCAAAAGTTCCAAATTTCCTGCGCACTGTTCTGACAAAAACTGATTTTAGGCGATTTACAAGATGGTGGGCTCCGTGATGAAGATGCCGGAGGACGAGTCGACGCCGGAGAAACGAACTGATAAGATATTCCGACAAATGGATAAGAACAAGGACGGCAAGCTATCGCTCGACGAGTTTATAGAGGGTGCGAAGAGCGACCCGTCTATTGTGCGACTGTTGCAGTGCGATCCTAGTGCACAAGCTCAGTGAGGCCCTGGGCCGATACAGACAAATACTGCTATGCCGTCTGCATACCCGAATCGGGGCCCGGCCCAATTGGTATCCCGAGCAGAAGCGGCGCGATCGTAGACACTTGCCAGCCGAATCTGGCCGAGGAAGCTGTGTCGAAACGCTACCTTCGCTATCATCCGTTCCGCGGAACTTTAACGTAATACTTTTAACGTTTTTGCTATACATGTTAGAGACACCTATCCGTAGAGGCGCTTAGATAGATGTGCAAATAATTTATTTTGTTTTACTCAAAGTGGAACCGTCATTAATGAAACTAATTTTGCTTCTTGAGGATATTTTTATTTTAGAGTAACATTGATGCATAAGATGCATTATTGGATAAGTAAATGGTTATTTGTCTAGCGGCAGATTGCGATTCTACGCGAAATTGAGAAGAAGAAAAAAAGAGGGAGGAAATCCCGACTCCCGATGATAGTAAATTAATTTGTTTGTCGTCAACATCGTCTCTTGACATTTCCGCAAGAATAATTTTCGTTGAATGTGAGAGGAGGGGTAAGATCGCAAGTGTTAGAGATAGTACTAGATTTTTAAAGTTTGCTCAATCATCGGTATCTCCCGATATTATCGATGATGATAGTGATAAGTTGTAAAGTGTATTGTCCATTGTCTGAAGGTATCGGTTTGACGATTTCTCAACGGACACTCTACGATCGCGCGCGCTATGCGCATGAGGGTTCACCGGGGGGGGGGGGGTTGCGTGCCCGGCGAGGGCTTCTACGAATTGGGCCGGTACCCGGGAGGTCCCAGGGTCACTGGGCCCATGGCGCTTGCGCATACCGCAAGCTAGTCGACAAGACTAGTCCAGTCGCTCCGTTTTACTAACGGATCGGTTTAGCGAGAAGCTTGTTACGCCTTTTTCGGGTCGTGCTAAAACGCAGCGCGCACACGAGAAACGTTCCGCGGAGCCGCCCGCGTCCCGAGAGGGCACGGCGCGAAAGAGAGAGAGATGCCGCTCTTCGGTTCCACGTCGCTCGCGAGCGTGCGCGAGAGAAAAACCTTTCGGTCCGACGGTTGCGTCGATGTCGAGGCCGACGGCGAAACGGGGGTTCCGGCCACTGCGAGACCGCTCCGGAAACGTGTCGCGAGACGATTAGCGAAATTCTAAAAATACTCTGTGTTCGTAATTATCCGTGGATTTTTCGGTGGCGCGACGGACGATAAAGCGACTGCGACAAGCGACGACATTCGAGCTCCTCTCGCTCGGCGAGAGAGAGAGAGAGCGTGCGACCGAACGCGTCGCGCGTCGCAGCGTATCCTTGTACATACGAGCGAAGATTGTGTCGCGCATCGACGCACCCTCGGATCGCCGCATCGCGGCGAAGGCACCTCTCGACGGTTTCGAAACTTTCGGCCGTGCACCGTGGCCGTCGTTCTTGCGTTCATCGCCGCATTGTTCGCCCTTGGTATCCAATATCCGGGTCGGACGAGACATCCATCTCTTCGAAGACACACGTATACACACACACACACACACACACATATACACATACACACACACAATATATATATATATCGCATCTCCTGCTCTCATGGATCCCGAGTGTCTCGTCTCTCGGACCCACCATTTACGGACTGACCCATTAAACGGAAAAAGACTCACAAGAGACTCACACTCGCGGTGGCGTCTCACTGCGCGCTAGCAACGAAAACTTAGTGATTAGTAGATCCGCGATGAGGCAAAGGTCACTGCGAAATCGAAGGCGCGCGATTGCTAAGTTAAGCGCGCTTACGGAGAGCTTGGACCTAACGAGAGGGAAGAAAACGACGGCGTACCGGCGATACGACTGTCACATATCACGGATGCGTTGCTCTCTCTCTCTCTCTCGTGAGGTGCTTGCGAAGAAAAAAATACTCGATACGGTGTGCGTAACGTGTACCGCCGGCGTTGGAAGGAAGGAAGCGACGCTAGTCTTTCATCCCCGTTGCGACGCTTCGGGATTTACCATGCTACGTCTCGGCGACGGAGAAGATCGCAGAGCTTGCTCGATCGAATCGCGGAAGGAGTTTGTCCTTCAACATTGCTGTTTCCTTTTTTTCACATCCCGTCGTCATTTTGCCATTTCTGGTGACCTTTGTCGTTACGGAGGTGCAGTAGAATGAACACAATCATACTCAGATAGCGTAAAAGGTCCGCCTCTTTCCATATCTCGCTTAAGGGAAAAGTAAAAAAAACGCATCCTTGCCGATCAGAGCGACTGGTCCTCTCATCAAAGCTTTCGCGAAGGCTTCACGCTTCGTTGAAACCGGCCGATGAACAAAGAAGAGGAAACGCGCGCGCGCGCGCGCGCGTGCGCCCGTATTTAGAGATTTATTTTTGTGAATGCGTGCATTCTGCGTGATGCGTGAGCGTGTAAAAGTATGTGCGTGTGTATAATCTGTGCGTATGCGTCCCATAAGTAGAGAAGCGAGAGAAAAAGGAAAAAAAAGAAAAGAGAAGAGAGAAAGACGGCTCGTGGCGCGAGCCTTATCGCCCCGTCGTCCGACTAATTGATCGATTCCGATAATTATACATAAATATATACATATATATATATTATACATACGATTATATATATATATATTATTGAGGAAAATAGAGAGCGGCGGGAAAGCGCGAATGCGATTCGCGACTCCTCGTCCACGCGAATATACACGCAGCAGCAGAGTTTAACGTTTTATGGCTTACGGCAGTTCGCTAGCTACTGCACGATCGGATGGTTGAGTATCAATTAACGGAGTAAACACGAGCGTACAGGAAATCCACGCTTTGGATATATATATTTATATATATCTGTAATATATAAA